AAAAGACATTTCAGAAGTCAGGTAAGCTCATCTCCTGACATCTAGAAATCGAAATTTTTCCGGGGAACCCGGACCCTTTATCTTTGGAGTTCATTGATTAATTGAATCATTTTCAAGGGGTGGGGGTGGGGGTGGGGGGAACCTTTAATTTTGAAGAATTCAAAAGTCATTAAAAGACACCACAAAAGTCGGGGAAAGCTCATTTCCCGCCATCTAGGAATCAAAATTTTCCTGGAGAAGAACCACAGGATCTCCCCACCCCCACCTTTCTTTTTGGGATTTATCGATTCATGGAAAAACTACGTATGCAACTTACTCAATCTTTTTTTTATGTATGTACCCGAAAATAAAAATAGCTACTTACAGCGTGGTATGTACTACCAAACACATGGTAGAAATACCTAGTTAACGTCTATGAAGGCAATAAAAACTACATCGCGTTACCCAGACCAATTTTTCTGTCTGTAACTATAGCGATAATCTAATTAACGTGAGCCCATAAATCCAATTCCAACGAAGGCCGTTCCACTACTCACACCCTGTCTCTTATACACATCTGTGTATGACTTACTTTAAAATTTCCTATTTTGAGCTAACAATTTGCATTCAAATGAGGCTCAAGCTTTGCCTGGGAACCGGGGGAGGGGTGGGTGGAGAGACGCACGTCCCAAAAATTACTTGTCCTCCCACTTTTTCCCCTTCCGAAAAAATCACTTGCAAGTAGTTAAAAATCACCTAAAATCACCTTATTTCGCGAATTAGTGCCCCTTAACTGATCATCGAGCCCCCCTTCACCTTCGCCCCACCCCCCTCATTTCAAGACTTCTAGATATGCCACTGATTGTTATTATATACCGTATCTATTCGCGTAAAGGCCCTTAGAATTTATTGTTGAGAAGAGTTTTGGAGGGAAGAGGGGGTTTATACGAGTAAGGCGAGTTTTATTATTTTTTTTTAAAGAGGAACGGTTATTCAAATAAATACGGTATATAAACTTTCACTCATACCTTTCAGGCTTACAGTTACAACGTTTAACGAAATGTTTGAATCGGCACTCCATTACACAGTTTGCATACGAGTACGTTTTGTAGTTGTTCAACTTCTGATCTTTCTTGCATTGACCCCACGGCTCTTCCAGGTTATCAGACTAAATCAAGAGCATAAAAATGTAATAATAATAATAATGATAATGATAATAATAATAATAATAATAATAATTATTATTATTATTATTATTATTATTATTATTATTATTATTATTATTACTACTACTATAGAATAATAATTTAATAATAACTATATTAAAATAATAATACGGTAATAATAATAATAATTTTCATAAACAACACAAGAGATTGTATCGTCATCATAGGCAAAGCCTATATTTAATCCAATATATTATGGCCTTAACGGCCCCAACAAAACATGTTTCGGCAGTCTACTACCATCGTCAGTTATCTTTTTGCACGCAGGCAATCATTAGTATAGGGGAGTAAAAAAATTCAATGTTTGCATGCTAAAAAATTGTGGAATGAACCGTAACAATGCTACAAAACAAAATATAAATAAAGATGAGGTAAAATCAGAGTATCTATGCCACCAAGAGGAGAATGGAATGAATTTAGAATGACAAAGATAAATTAACATGAAAAAGCTGTTTGTTCAATGAGGGCTGCTCCCACTGAATATGCAGGGCTTCTTTGATTTTTAGAATTTGGGTTGTAGAGGCGGAGTCCAGTATAGTGAAGCAATCCTCATTGGCTGATTGTTTACAATGACGTGAACTCTTCAAATTCTTTAATATGCGAGTTTCCATCCAGTGTTAGGTGCTCACGCATGCGTGTGGAGATATGTCGGCTTGTTTCGTAACAAGCATTACAGCCCGGACATACAAATTTATAAACGAACACACGAACGGAGACCAACTGGGATGGAATCTTTAGCTAAAAACAAACTTTTTATTTTAAATGAGGAAAAGACAATTTTTAAATTTAAGTCATAACAAAATTCATTCGATAAGGCACGGATTTTATTGCTAAGGACTTTGGAAAATGTGCCAACATAAGGTAATTTAAAATAAAAATTGATCCGTGTATTTTCTTCAGTGTTATCCAGTGTACTTTTACATTTACATTGAACTGAACTGACATAACGAAAAATTATTTGATCAATAAGGTATGAAGGAAAACAATTTCTTAAGGATGGTAGTTAATGCCTTGATATCAGAATAAAAGCCCCTCCAACTATTATTGATTTTATAAGCCATATTAACTATCATACGAATAAGACCGATTTTGTAACTGAACGAACAAAAACTGAAAAAAATTGTAAGTAGCCTAGTATATGATTTTTTTCCTAAAAATTGAGGTCTGAGGTGGCCCATCCTTAATGTTAAACACCAAGACGTCCAAGGAAGGTAATAATAATAATAATAATAATAATAATAATAACAATAATAATAATAATAACAATAATAATTATTATAGAATAATAATTTAATAATAACTATATTAAAATAATAATACGGTAATAATAATAATAATAATAATAATAATAAATAATAATAATAATAATAATAATAATAATAATAATAATAATAATAATATGGGTTATTTACTGAAATTGACTTAATATTGATGATTAAAAGTATAGTTCTAAATCATGCAAAAGCCATGCAGTTCAATTATTAAGATAATAATATACCATGCACAATCCGAAAAGGCTGAGCAAAGCAATTTTATTTAATTAAACTTTGGTTAATTGCCTTAGAATAATGAATACTATAGTATCATCATCATATCAATATAATTATTGTTCAATATCGATTTTGAAAGAAAATTTAATAAAAATCATATCATGTTTTGTTGAAGTTAATATTCACAATGATGTAAATATACCCTATAGCTGTTGTCTGATGTAAAACCCATGAATAAAACCCCAATATGTTTTCTTTTTTAATTTACCATATAACTTTTCAAGAGCTTTTTATTCAGGAAAATAATGTCGGTATCACAGGGAAAATATCAATGTGACACTGGCAAATTTGGCTTCTTTTATAACCACGAACGCTCGGCAAAAAATAGCATTTTTAGACATTAAAAAATTGATTTTTTTGAGTGTGTACCGGTATGTGTTCATTCTTTAAATATAGTCCTATATCCAACATCTGGTTGAAAAATAGGGTAAAATATCCCATAGCATTTCTCTAGCAAATGATATCATCCCACTCGAGATTTCAAACTTTTAAGAAAAAAAAATGAGGCTATTTTAAACCATGTGGTTTACATTATTAAGAGAATACCACGCCTATTCCTAAAAGATATATGGGGAAATATCAAAGTGACACCAGCATACCCGACTTCTTAGTTAGACGAGCGCTAACCTGCCGAACCGTCCCTGCAGATCATACTCTAGATTTCTGCCGATTAATTTCGGTCGCTTACTAATAAAATCGTTATTCATTTTAAAGCAATTAATTTTTTAATTTTTGGTTTTATTTCTCATCCTAAACTTCGAACGGTGTGAAGGTCGGATCCGCGCCTTATACATGGCTGTGGTATATCACAATGCCCATATACGTAGAAAATCCACAAAACTTAGATCCTATAATAATGATGGGTGAGATATTAAATTTGCTCTACCTCATATACATATACATCTGCAAAGGCATGTTGACCGGTACCAATAGCAGACCCTCTAGTGGACACGAGAGGGGGCGAGTCTTGTGGGTGTACTAGAAACTTCAATCCAGCTTCCAGGTTAGCACCAAGTCCAATGGTCTCTGTATATTCATTCTGAAATCAAAAAAGCATAATGTTAGGTAGATTATATATTCCTCATACAAAAATCACACCCCAAGGCATCGACTAGATCTGACAGTTAAACTTCCTTCTCCAAGGGTCATGTTTCTGAGCTATCAGGTACCGGTGGCAGCTACTCTCGTGTGTCCAGTATTGTATTCAATGGCGGATACTTTCACAGATAGAGGGTCTACAGTAGAACACCTCAGCCAGACATATGGTTTGTAAGAAAATGTTGATTAATATGGCACCTCTAGATGGCCGGAATTGGCACTCTTAGACTTACATTTGAACATGTTTTTCTTCTTTGTCCATTTTTCTCATAATTCTGACAAATTTAGGAAAGGGGTTGGAGGTTAAGTATGAGAAAATTGCCCCCCCCCCCTTGTAATTTCTGTATATCCAATACCGAGTAATATTGATGTAGCCAGCATTGTCAGTGTGGGTACGTACTTGGCATTTGATATAATTCGACATTAAATTTTATTAAGTAAATTGATATGGTATGGGGTCTTTATTATTCGATAATGCCTTTCAAAGTCAGCTCTCAGAAGGTCAGCATTTGAGATTTGCACGTTAAAGGATTAAATATGATCAGACAATTCTTTTACAAAAATACACATAGCCCCCTACATGCTTTTTAAAATAATCTCTTATAAATTGTAAAACGACTCATTATACATCTGAAGCTAGGGTAGAATTTTTGTGGGGTTCAAGGTGCGAGATCATAAGGCAACAAAGATTAAATTGTAAAAATTACATTAGCTGATGAAGGCATATTTGGGTATTCAGAACGACTGGGAAATAGGTGTGTTGTCTATGATATATAAATAGGTTTTGGCTGCAGTGAGATTTTCCCTCTTTTTGTCGCCGAAATAGTGTCCCTTTAATAGGTGTGTCCCCAAAATAGTGAATGGCCGTAGGGCTAAAAGATATACTTTTCCTCAGTTCGTGGTCACAAAGTGTCCACCTAATAGGGAGGGTTCTACTGTATATTTTATAGGAACATGCTACTGTAGGATGGCCATTCGAAGGTGTAGGTGTGCAAAAATGGACAAACTGGGACATGGGAAGGGGGTTGCATAGAACCCCCGATTACGTCAAGAGAAGAGCCGGTTTGATTGCAGATTTGGAATATTTTTGACTTTTGTCGATTTGGGGATTTTGAGAGGGATACGCATGCACCCATCACACACCCCTGGATACAGGCCTCGATTATTTATACATCAAAGGTTTACTTAGTGATTTAAAAATCTAAAGGTAGAGAGTGTCAATCAAACTTTTGTGGACCTTAGCAACAATATAAAAGGGGTGGAGCCTAATGGAAAGGTCCGTTGCTCACTTACCTGGGCCACATTTATCATCAGTTGTAGTCCATTATTAGGTCCTGGTTGAAATTGCTTCAAGCTCCTGTCGCTCGCACCATTGAAGGTCCAACAGCGACCATAGTCGGTAATAACACTTGTAAAATTCTAGAAAATATTGATTGACAGGTAATAATTGATTGACATCCCGAGTTATACCAGGTATCAGTGATAACCAAAGAGGTAATGATAGAAATTAGGGCTTTTCCTACTTTGTATGCGCTGAAACTTCGAGATCTCTTTTTTCCTTGTTCAATTCCCATCGCTGCTCTCCTTGTGTCAGTCGTAGGGCTGAAATTCAAGTTTCACAGTGCACCATCTTTCGGAACATTGTGCAAATTGGCCCATGTGCAAGTTACAGAATGAAGTACTCTTCGGAAAAGAGTAGGATATTGTCTCCCGGTGTACTGCCCTATTCTCAACTAAAGGACCCCACTGGAAATGACTTTCATGGGTTATTCTTGGTGTGTAACTGATGTTAAAATTATAAAGTAGAAAAAAACATTTAAAAAAATATGATAATAATAATAATAATAATAATAATAATAATAATACTAAATGATAAGAATCATTAATCGTAACAAAAAAAAGTAATTTCTAATTAACCTTTGCATCACAAGTTTTACCCCGGAATTTACACGACCACAGCGTTTCAGCATCAAGATCAAATCCGGCTTTTTTCGTAAATTCTGATACATTGAAGGATGTTTTTCTAAGCAACGCTACACACTTCTCTATGTACTGAGTGTATTGTCCACTAAGATCCTCTATCCCAAGAATGATTGCACAGACAAAATATTCCACTTCTGTGTTTGATATCTTAGACCGACGGTACCTATAGTGAACAATAATAATAATTCTTTATTACACTGTCATAGTCAAAGCTTTTTATATCTAAATCTCAATTTAGTTATTATGTCATCATCTCATCATTACTGTCATCATCATCATCATCATCATCATCATCATCATCATCATCATCATCATCATCATCCAATTTGTTATTTCCCTCTTTATCCTGTACAGGTCGCCCTCTAATCAAAGACACCTGAAATTAAGATCTATTTTCTGTGGTCCCTAATCAAAAAGTGTCTTTTGTCTTTAAGATTCTAATGAATAAAGACTATGGAATCATCCCCCCCCCAAAAAAAAAAAAAACAAATAACAAATAAACTGGAGAATGTTGTCAAGCATTACCAATTCAATATTACTATCTAGGATCTTTCTCTATCCTAATAAAAATCCCAGTCATAATTCTTAAAAGCTTAAACATCATAGTTACATTAAGGGCCTGCAATGATGGATGATCTATACTTGTGCAATCAATCTGACTGACTCCAATCCATTACGTGGAAGTTATATAGATACCAAGAAACTAGTCAATAACAACTAACTTACTACAGAATACTTAATAATCCTGTTGTAAAATTGAGTTGTCATTAACTTTCACGGATATTGAATCTATTATCTGTTTGTCTCACCATTTTGTCACCCAAATAAATTAGTTTTCCTCCATATGTCATTAGTTGAATATAATTGCTCTAAATATTTACAAAATTCACATAATATATATATATATATATATATATATATATATATGTATATATATAATGAAAAACAATAAGAAAACGGTGTACAATCATTGAAAGTTCACTTGCAGAACACAAATTTATTAAACTAAAACAAAATCAAACGGACAACGTTAAAGTAAGAAAACTTTGGAGGTCTTACACATACATAAAGAATAATAAATGGTATTAAAAACGCTGTACATACTGGAATAGTGCGCGGTCGGTAAAGGATGTGTTCTAAAAATTTAAAGTCAGGTTCCGGAGAAAAAAAAAGTTTTGATATGTTGTAGAACTGATTTTTTTAAGACAGAAATTTTTTAAATATTAAAAAATCTGTATCTCATTCACCGTTCCCTATTTTTTTTGTCAAACAACTTTTTTCTGTCTTAGAAAAATCAGTTCTACAACATATCAACATTTTTTTTCTTCCGGAGCCTGACTTTAAAGACGTGAGTTCGAATCGCTTATTTAGCAAGTTTGAATCGCGTATTTATTTTTTTTTTTCATTTTGTCAAAAGGTGATAAGTTCTCATCCATGTTCAATAAATTCAATTTCAATTTCAATTTATTCAAAATTGCCTCCAAAAATGGAGAGTATAAAAAAGAAAAACAAAACATCAATACACATTAAAATACAGAAAATCATGTGCTTAGGAATGAGTAATTGAAAGTACCAATAACAATTATTCAATAAAATCACTGAAGACGATGATACAACACCAGTACGCCGACACGTACACTTTCTGAAAATCCAGCAACACAGCTACAACCACCCAAACCAACAAAGAACAACCACAACAACCTAGCCTATCCCAACATGAGAAGCCGCAAGATCGACGTATAGCACAATTACCAGATCCGAAGACGAATAACACAATCAATAAACACAATAATCACAACAGAGAACAGTCAAACAAACGACAGACAATTCGTATGACCATTTAAAATAATATACTGAAACTTGTCATTATATGTTTAATCAAAATAGATCGAAAACAATATACACATTGTCATAGTAGTAATTGAATATCCAGAATGTGCAACAATCGCATTCAAGTGTTATGATGTTAAACAATGTTTTTTTAATGAATGATATCAATTTTATGAACTTAACGTTCATGAAGTGAGAAATAGTTCATTACATTAACAATCACAATATGATACAATGTCTTTACAAATGATAGTAATGTTTATAACATTAGTGATTATGAATTTAAAAGTGTTTCATTTTCTTAGTATCACAATATGAACTATGAATAGGCATCAGTTAAACAACGTTTAAAGCGTTAATTAACACATCCTGTTTAAAGTTTAAAGAATGTTGTATTGCTATTGAAGCAAAGGAGTGGGATGCTGTGAGGTTAGTGACGTGACTCAGTCGTGTATATAGACGCACATACGCGCATGGAACCGATCCACGGTACCTACTGGCATATCTGAATAAACTACATGTTATGTTACATAATAGTTGGTGTCTGCCTGTTATTGTCTCAACGACCACCCAGGAACACAATCATGAGCCGTTGCATTGCTGTACCTCTACCATTTTACGAACCCAAATTGCGAGGGATTGAAGTTTACATTAGCACATGATTCTAAGAAACCGAGTTCAAAAGTTTAGTAATTACGTTAGAGACAAATAGGCGATAGTTTTTATGCTGGAACGGATCCTCATTTGGTTTTTTTCAGAATTGGTATAATAATACCCTCATAAAAATTGCAAGGACAACACCATAGTTAATGCAAAGATTAAACAATTTAGCAAGGATATCTGGATATTTGTATTAATACTATGTTTAAGGTGATTAGCAGTGATTCCATCGGGGCCAAGTGCAGAATTTGTATTAAGTTTGGAGATATAAATGAGAGAATTTAAATACATTTTCACTTAACACTAGTTGCTTAGAGGATACAAATTCATTTGCAGATTGCATTATAGCATTTATTACAGTTATTTATGTCGAATTTCGATTTATAAAATTCAGTAAGTTTATCAACAGAGATTGAATCCATGTTACGGTTATCGATTCTCTTGCAATCGTTAACTGCTTTCCAGATTTTTGGGGGGATTCGTAATCATATACACTTTATTCAGGGAGTTACACTTTTTTGCATATACAGTATTGACAGCCTTTCTGCAGATACGCCTATAATATTTTTAAGCTGGCTTGTAACAAGAGAAGACTATGCCAGACCTGTCTCTGTTGCATTGGATCCAAAGGCGATACCTAAACCTCTGACGATTCCTAGCAACGGTGCAATCAGAGTCCCACCAAAGTATCTCTTTTTTTGAGTGCATTCTACCGGTGACAATCAGAACCAGAGAGCTTGTGTTGGTGTATCATATTTTTCATTAGAAGTGATCCCAGATTTAACATCAAGGCTAAGCTTGTTAGTAATAGGAGATGATCATTTGTATTATCATAAAATGAAGTTACAATTTGACAATTTGAAATCTTAGAAGCTGAAAGGTCATTCACAAGCACGTGAACTATTATATAGCCTTTATGGGACCCTTTAAAGTATGTATAGTTAAATTTCTGGTCATACGCAAAAGTAGAGACTTTAAACTCATTATCGCATACGAAATCATATAATATCATGCTAAATTAAAAAGAAAATTAGCGCGATTCGAACTCGCGACCGGTTAAGGATATGGTCTAAAAACTTAAAGGTCGTGAGTTCGAAACGCGTCTTGGTATTCAATTATTATTTTTTTTCCAATTGTAGGAAATTTTATTATTATTATTTTTTTTCAATTTTAAGTATTTTAACATTGTACAAATGATCATTCTAAATAATGTTTTTTTTTCTTTTAGAAATAAACATTCTAATTATTTAAAAATTACTGTACTTTATTGCCATTACCACTAATAGTGCATGAATGGTGCGGAGTGTTCTAAAAAAACATACCGGTAAGTTCGAAAGGCGTCTTGGTATTCAATTCATTTTTCCAGTTTATTTATTTTAATTTTGTAATGATCTTTCCAAATGTTTTTTTTTTTTTTTTTTTTTTTAAAGTTGCATATAGTAATAGCCGGGAATGTCACTTCGTCAAGATATTCAATTTCTATTTCTGTATTGACGTTGAATTGGAAGTAAATAATAATCCTTTCCACAACCGCAGTCCCACAAGACACCACAGCGACTAGTATGATTATTACCCAGAATATCTTGGAACTGCAGTGTCTCTTCTCGATTAAGCGCTGCACCCCATGCATTGATGTCTTGGTTGCGAAGTCATAATCAAGATCGTCTTCACTTTCGGACATGTTAAAATGTTGTGAGGTACCTATAAGAATAACTCTGTAGTATAAAACAGGGGCGGATCCAGAGATGTCAAAAAAGGTGGGGGAGGGATGTGGGCGAAAGTAGGACCGATCGAGATAATACTACCCTAGTGTCCGAGGCATGCCCCGCAAATTTTAAAAGCAAGTGTTTTATCGGCACTTGCCGTACCTTATTATTTTTTCTACAGTGACATACATAACATAGCATAAATTGTCAAAACTTTCTTTAGGTCATTCATCAGTAAATTGGTCCTTTCATGTCCTGCCAATTTATGAAAGTACTATAAATAAATCGGAAAATATTAAAGGAAATTTGATTTATTTTTGCGGTAAAATAAAATTTAACATGCCAAAATATTTGGTACTATTCTGATGCTTATAATTTCAATTATTTCCAATTACAATAACTAATTGAAGATTTAATATGTTTCTGATTGAATGTAGTTTTTAAAAAAATCTTGAAAATAATAAACATTATGGGTAATTAAAAAATCCTTTCAAAACCTCCCATGCATGTCCAGGTTGTATTTCCCAAAATTTCGAAATGACATAATTTTGTATAGGTAACTTAGAATAATTATACCACCAAATTCATGGTCTTTTGTAATGCTAAATTAAAAACTACATACATATAACCATGAATTCATTAACCTTCTTAGACTAACAAAATGTGTCCCTTCATTTCGGTCCGTTATGTTGAATTTGAAACACTGTAGCTGGTAAGAAAATGTTATGGATGAAAACATTTTGGATGTAAGGGACATACGGTAAGAATAAATCCGTTTCTCTACAGTTAAACACATGATAGCCGAATAATTGATAGACTTTCTTATAAAACCAGAAGAGGTACCTTTATTCTGTATCCTATCCGAACCCTTTAGAACCGTACCCTTTTTTATAAAGCAATATTCAATGTCGTATTATGAAAAGTGTACGTTAGAGGCACTAAGACCACGAATGATTAGTGCATAAAATGTATTACAAAAACGTAAATACAATAATCCCACAAGACTCCACAGGTATTGCTATGTTTATTGATTATTACTCTTTTATTTCAGAAAATATTTCAGCCGCTCCAATTTTTTTCCTATTCTTCCTTCATAATGTGTTCTTTAATATTTTGCGTTTTTATTTTTATTCATAATTTATAGATAGGAGTCCTGGGTTCAATTCCTGTCAGTGTTGCAGGATTTTTTCTCACGACCAAAACAACTCCACTCCCTAAATCTCATATTGAGATTTAGTTTGTGTAAAGCATCGTTTGTGTATGTTTTTCTTGTGTAAGGGATTGTCGCCTACAAGTAGGACAGTGATATATTCGCTATTGACAATCCTTGGCACATGTATTGTGTGCCTAAATAAATAATAAAAATAATAAAATAACAGGAGGAGGCGAAAAAATTAGGAGCGTTAAACTCGGAGAAACAACAACCCATATATCTTTTTCAATTTAAAGTCGGAGACATGTCCTGGTTGGAACCCTCTAACGTCACTATTAGATAGGCTTATCTTTGAAGCAAGAAATCAAGTTGTCTTCACCCCGTAGCGGTCGTTCATATTATTCGGTGGAAATTTTTCCCTATTAGAAGCCATTTTTTTCTAAATCAATATTCATAAATACGATCAGAATTGTACACATGGTTTCATCCTTTAAACAAAATGCAAATGATGCAATATGAACCAAGATCATCTTTCAGTAATCTCCGTCACATTTTACGGTAATGGAGATGAAGACATTTCTTTTGTCAATAATGGCAATAAATAATGGATCTTGCTTATTCTTTTAGAAAGCACCTTGTTCAGTTTTTTCTATCATGTGTTCAGATATTACAATCTTTCTTTTGAATTAATTTCAATTTATTCAAAAACCTCCAAAACGGAGAGATAAAATACTTAACAAAAGCATTTACGTATGAATCAACCTATCATACATTAAAACATATCAAAATACAAATGGAAATCAAACGATCAATTTCAATCAAATAGCAAAACATTTCAATAAAATGATGAAATGAATATGAATCAAGCTTTTATGTATCTAACTATTCTTATTTCCGTCAATTTGTGTATTTCCTATGCTACAACACTGAAAATTTAATATTTAATTAAATGCTTACTATTCTCCAAACTTTGATTTAGGGTTGTTGTACCACATAATAATCATATCCCTTAAAGAAAAAAATGTTTTCTAAACTACCGGTACTAAATGTTCATTATACTGGAAAAATCACCCAATTTGTCAGAGAGAAAAAAATTATATGTATTTTTTTTATACATCAATAAACTCTAAAATTAATCGAAATAAGCCCTTTAAACCACAAGATTTGCGAGAGATTTTGAGCACGCCCACCTTACGCTCTCGTTGGGGAGTCGCGTTCATCCCTCCCCGATCGGGGACACTACACATTGGAATATTGGTGGCCATTCATAAATAGACCTAAAAATAATAATTAAAAATAATTTCCAACTTAATTTTTGACAAATATATCTGGTTAGTAGTAATTATTGACTACTACTGTGTTGATTTCAATTTAGAGGTGTATTAAGTTAAGTGTTCGCTTAGATGGTCTTATTATGCAATGTAGTTATTGATACCAAAAATAACCTCCACCTTCGGTGCTGTCTATCGTAACCTGGCCTACAGAAGTTAGCTCACTTTACATGGGTTTGGTTCTATGCAAGTTTTACTCGTGGGATGTGTTTGACTTATTGTGGAGAGTCGCTTACAACGCTTCGAAACTGAAAAGAAAGGCGCTATACAAGCAACAAGTAACAAGTATCATTAAGTCCGAGGCCTAACCATGGAGGAATTGCCTAATCTACATAAAACTTAACCTACCACTTTAGACAGACTAGATGTCGACGTTGTGTTGTGTTCAAGATCACAGTATATCCCAAAAACTGATCAAAGAGGCTACTTCTGTATTCTGATGCGGTGGTTCTATTAAATACCATTCTATATACGGCTCGATATCAATATTGATTAACCATTACACTCGTTCGAATATAATACAATACGGTACTCTCTCTATACATTACATTGATCCCGTCTAGTTACAGATTCTATAAAGAATATGTGGTTATATCTGACACGCCGCACCGAAACGTTTTTACTAAAGCCCAAGAATATTCCATTACCTGACTGGATAAATCACTCTATACCGGTTTTAGCTTCACCAATGAACAAATAGCTGTAATGAAAACAAATTAGGATGTTGAGGTATAGAGGATGTATATTAGAGGGAATATGGTATTGTAAAGTATTTAATAATAATATATTACTAGGTAATATATTATTATTATTATTAACAATACCTTGCAAGTATTGTTAACAATAATATATTTTGCCATATGGCATTAGTACTTTTTGCAAAATAGTTAAGTTCGCAGACGATATGTGCATTAATGGTTTAATTACCAACAATGATGCATCAGTATATAGAAATGAAGTTACCCATGTTATTAACCTGGTGCTCTAATAACTTTTTAGTATACTAAGCTAAGAAAACAAAGGAAAATTTTGATTTTGGGAAACGCGACAGAGGTATAGATCAACTCATTGTCAATAATGACGGTGTAACTAGAACATCAAAACATAAATATTTAGGTGTATCATCGATGACAAGCTAAATACTAGCTTATGTATGCCTAGGGCAAGAAGCGCTATCTCTCTTCTATCATTGTGTAGTGAAATCAGTCATCTGCTTCTGCTATACTGTACTGCCATTGCCTGTGGGGTTTAGCAATCTAACAAAAAAATAATAATCAAATTAAGAAAATAACCAGAGTGGCAGGAAAAGTAATTAGTATGGAGCTTCCAAGTATAAACAGCTTTTTGTGGTAAGTCGGCCCTAATGAAATTAGAAACAATATTAAAGGATGAGTCTCACCCATTCAAATGGTTACTTTATAACTTTTAACAGATCAGGAAGAATTCGGCAAACTACTGTCAAAACAAACCGTTTAAAATAATCGTTCATACCAAACGCATGTCAGCTCTACAATAATCAATTCTCCAGATAATCACTGTCTTAGATTAGGTACCGTAATGAACATAAATTTTAAAACGAAAATCTTAAAAACAGTAGTGTGGAGCGTGGCTTTATTATAGCAGAGATGTGGACACTGCTAAAGGAAGATGTTTAGACGGCTGGAATCTTTCGAGAGGTGGGTGTGGAGAGGAATAAAGAAAGTTTGTTGGTCTGAGGTAAAAGACAGATGAAGAGGTATACCAATATAGAAGAAAAGAGAGCATTATGTCAGTAGAAGAAGAAAGAAGAATTGGATTGGTCATGTTTCAAGGGAAGAGAGTTTGTTTAAAGAAGTCATAGAGGGACGAATGGAAGAGAAAAGACAAAGAGTAAGAAATAGAATAAGGTGATAAACGATTTAAATGACAAGAGGACTTACGTGGAAATGAAGGGAAGAGTGGAGGCCAGTGAAGGCCTTGGCAGCCAAACACCTGCCTGACGGCAGAACACTAAAGAGGTTGTTTTATGTCTAACCCCTAAGTCCATTTCACTGTCTTTCTATTTAGTTAAGTTAGTTAGATTTTGGTGCTATTGTATTTTGAGTAATTTATATTTATATTTATTGTTATTTATATGTTATATTGGGTATTGTTTTATTGTATAAGCAGAGGGATACAGATTTCATGTATATTTTTATATTATCTTGAGTCTAAAGCCCAAAGAATATTCCATTATCTTACTGGGAAAATCACTATGGGCCCTTACCGGTTTTAGGTTTCACCAAGGAACAGATTAGCTGTTGAAGTACATGGAGGTGTGTGTATATTATAGATGGAATATGGTATTGTAGTATTAGTAGTACGCAAACAACAGCGTGCATTGATACCTAACCGAAAACATAATGGGCATCCCTTAAATGAAATGGCATTGTTGAGTTCATTGTGTTTTGTCTTAAATTGCCAAGTATTGTCGTTAATAATAATATATTACCTAGTATATTATTAATAATAATATTATTATTATTAATAATAATACATTACCTGGTATACTACTTACCTTATTGAAAAAAACGAGGCTTAAGTAGTAAACTCATATGGTTGCCTCGTTTTCTATTGCACTTTTATAAATAAGAACCAGTAAAATGTTTGCCCATGCTCAGTTTTCTTATTTTGCTATACTTGTAATCTACAATGCTTTAACACCTCTTGCAAAATAGTTAAGTTCGCAGACGATATGTGTATTACTGTGATTTATTTACCATATACGCTACCCGTGTTATTAATCTGGTGCTCTAATAACTCCTTAGAATATTAATGCTAAGAAAACAAAGGACATTTTTGATTGTAGAAAACGCAACATAGATATGTATCAACTGATAGTTACCTGATGGAATCATCAGTTTGGGAAGGGGGAGGTAAAGGAGACTTCCCGACGAGAGCGTAAGGTCGAAGTGGTCGGGCGTTGCTCAAAATCACTCGGAATAGAGGCGGATTTAGCAACTCATTTGAAGAAAGGAAAGGAAGAAAAGGAAATTATTGATCGCCCAACGCATCAGAGGTTATTTGCGGGCGAAAACAACAAATTCGCAGGGATCAATTCTTTCACTATTTTATGTAGGCCTACATGACATTTCTTAGTGTCTAGGAATAAAAATGAGTTGGTGTTTTTTTTAAAGAGATATCTCATCAGCCCGAAGCTTTAAACGAGACAAGATCTGATCTGACCTGACCACATCCAACAATGAGGACTGTACTTGGTACATACGCATCTAGTTCGTAGTTGTATTTGGAATTGTATACAGAAAAACTGGTCATTATGTTCATTTATTTTGTTGGCTATTTAATCCCTGTAACTGAAATAATGATAATAATAAATAATACAGGAATTTATACCACACCTAGACTGGCCTAGATTGAATATTATCCATGTTAGAGTAAAGTTCGGATGCCATTAGTCAGTGGTGGCCGCTCTAGAAATTTGCGGACAGTGGGTCTGGCAAGTCAAAAAAGTGAACCAGGGGGCCGACTAGTGCCTTGACGCAAAGTAGCAACGCATCGTGGCAATACTACTGGCATATAAAGTTATGTACAATATTATTTCGGTCGCTTAATTGTATGCATTAAAGGGAAATTGCATCCAATTTGCTCACGAGCATCGTACTCGAAATTTGACTTACACTATGTAAGTTATATGAAGTAACTGCAGCACTTAAAATCGTACATATTTTGCATATATATTGCATGGATTAAAATTTAAACGTTGCCACTTCGAGATCACCCGGGCAGCGTAACAACCAACCGACTGCACACTATTTTCGGTCCCACACAACTACGACACTCCATAACGCATGCAAGTGCACCTCCTAGTTCCGTTCACTGGATAATGAAGGGTCGCGTAATAATGGCCCAAAAACCCGTGTAGACAAAACATTAGGGATTGACAATCAAAATAACGTTATTTGAATAAGGAAATTTTCAATATTTTTGGTGGCGTCGACGACCGGGGGTCCACCTGTCCGACAATGGGGCGGCTCCGACAATGGGGTGGGGGAGCAATTTCCCCCTCTGACCTCCGCTGGTGCTGCCACTGCTATTAGTTCCACCTACTCTCGTTTATGTTTGCATAAGCATGTATTTTTCTTTTAGCTTATAGGCCATGAGATACTCGCACAGGGCTGAAACATAGCGCAAACCACTTCACAGCCGTCGCCAACAGTGCAAGAAATTTGGCCGGTGTCTGGTTCGAACTCTCAACCACGAGTTTCAGAACCTGAATATAATATGCGGCGCCCCTCGTTTTACATACTCATCATCCCCCACCTCGGCTCTGTTCTTACGCTAATGACTAGTGGGTTCAACTAACGTTTAACACTTCAAAAGCCTGGAGTGCACTAAGATGATCTGAAGGCAATTTTTAACGGACATTCGCTATACTCTCGGAGATGTGACACGCATATAAATATATCCATATTTCAATTATAAGATAAAATAAGCAAAGACCAAAGAAAAATGTATTGAGAAAAAAATAGCCATATTTATTTTTATTTGTTGCTTTCAATAAATTTAGTGAGTCTCTGATATGTATAAGTTAAAAAGAGCATGGCTCCTTTGATTATCTTTTTGTACTGATCATACCACATCTGTATGTATACGTTATGTTATGACTAAACGTACAAGGTATTTTCTATAAATAATCAATTATAAATGATATTACGGCATATTTGCATTTTAAAACATTTTAGTTCTTCCTAACTTTATTATTGTAATATCATATTTGTTCTATACATCTCAAACTAACACATCTATTTACGTTTATGTGGCCTTTATTAATTCAATTTATTACCGTACGCATATTCGAATGTAAATTTCATGGTGTAATTATAAAACACAAAACACAGTAAGACACAGAAATATTGCCGAAAGGTACATTGTACCTAAATCTAAATTACTCACTATTTACATGCAATAAAATAATTAGACGAACGTATATAATTACAATAATACTATTAAATTATTTATTTATTTATTTCAAAAAACACATCAAACAGCAATCAATTGCCAATAAAAATATGTCTTAAAATAGTTTTACAACCATATAGATATATAGAAAAATACTAATAAAAAGAAACGGGGTCACAAGTCACCAATAAAAAAAATCATTCCCAGCCCAAAGCCAAGCAGATCAATCACGTAAATGCATGCAAATATAATAAAATGATTTTAAATAAACTTAAATTTTGATTGAATAACTCGATAGTAGGATCTTGATGTAACAATGTATTATAAGTAAAAGTAGTAAACGATGAATGAAACCATTTTTTGTGCAATTATCTCTGTTAAACGGAACCAGAAATATATCGTTAGAGCGATAATTTAGTGTATTAATTTTAAGAGAAAATATAGAAAATAGGCCTACATTAGCCACAGTGGATTGAGATTCTCGAATAAAAAAAAGCCTGGTTCTCACGAGAGACTTAGTATCCGGATCGGGAGCTAACCGTTAGCGCTAACCGTTAGCAACTGCATGAGAACGCCCGATCGGTTAGCCAGCGCTATTGGTTAGCAAGTTGAGCGCATTTTTATCATCAAACAATAACTCGTACACGTTTACAATTTCCAGTTTCTTATTGGCCAGTGATTCGATCATCATATTTTTGGTATCCGGATCGGGATTTTCTCGTATGGCGCACGGCAGCTAACGGTTAGCAGGATCCGGATCCTGCTAACCGTTAGCTGCCGTGTGAGAACATAGCCTTAGGATTTGGTGTTCTGGTGGTTTCGAAGTGCATATAGTTTTATGGTCGGAAACAACTCATGGGATTCGGTGGTCTCGAAGTACCATCGGCCGAACACAACACGACGTTGGTGGAATGTGCACCACAGTGATACCACGCCATTTTCTAAGTCACATTTTTGTTAGATAGAGAAAAAAGTTTCTTTTTATTGTGTTAATGGTTCAGTTTTGAAATTTTGACAATGCTTATGGAAATTTACTGAAATGTCAGTTCTTGGCTACCATATAGATATACTGCATCAAGATGGGACAATAATAAAATGTTGTAGTTAATACAACAGTCACCATTATATATAGTTCAATTGACTACAACATTTATGTGAAAACTATTGTACCGTGTTAATATCATGGTACATGTATTGATGTTGGTTTTGCGTAAACTCGCCATGATTGAAATGTTATGGGCATGCGATAATGGTGTAATTTTTGTGACTTTTGTTATTAGTATTATTTTATATTTATTATTAATTTATATTGATAGTCCACCGTGCAGGCGACTGAAGCAAGCAGCAACTGAAAGCTGGACTCTTTAACTATAGTACCGTACTAGTAGGTATGTGGTGTGCTGGAATTTTGGAACCCATTGTCAACGCTACTTAATACCATTGTATGAATTCATTAGTATGAACGATCATATTTTTGCAGTTTATAATCGGTACAAGTGTAATCTTGTTGTTAATGTGTAAACATGGACACTATAGTAACTCTGGTAAAGTTATCATATTACGGAGTTAACATTAATTAAATAATAGTCATTGATTGTAACTGATGATTAATGGCAGGCATGGTTCTGATATATCTTGAGTTATCATTAATTAATGATTTACTATCTTTTGTAGCCAGTAGATAACGTTTGTTTTAGAATAGATTCTGAAACTGAGAAACATTGATTATGTTATATCGTGATAATATGATTATATCCTCAAACCGTTATTAACGTTGTGTCTAGGATTATAATAATAGTAATGAACGTTTATTATATAGTCCTCGTAATCTTTATTCATGATAATGTTATACTGTAATCTTTTGAAACTGGTTATAAATATTTTGAAATTGTGTATGGTAACCAAATGTAAATGTTAATTTTTATTAGCTATGTGTTATTGGAGAACTGGCTACATAGGGTTAGCATGTTAGTAATGTTCACATCTATTGACTTTTGTTGTGATACTTAAATGATGGTTTGCATGCATTTAATTCTAGCGTTTCGTTGTTGAGTGAATTGACTATAGGCGTGAGTGTTAGTTGGTCCCGACTATATTAAAACAAAATTCATACACTTACAAAGAAAAATCATATCAAAACATTTCTCCTTTTGCGAATTGCAAGAAGAGAGTATACGGAACCAAATTAATATCATTATAATGCATATGATTATTGAAATGCATAAACTTAGATTGAATTCTACCAATTTAATACGATGGGACTGTGTTACTGGGATAGATTTGTAAATTAGGCTGCAATAGTCGAAGTTAGTAATAGTTATGAAAATTAATAAAGAGAAAATTAAAAATTGCACCAATACCTTATGTAAACTTTGTAATTTTCAATAAATGATTTTTCTTTTATGGTCTCTGCTACTGTTGGACGTCACGTTGTGGAGTGCAAAATATGACCAACAAGTGGAACAGAGCCAGGTTGTACCGCAGCTTCAACTTTTTATTAATACAGCAACTTGAATGCACCAAACTGAGATTGTTGTTTTCGAAATTGTCCTTTTTTGGATATTACGAAATAAAGAGGGGGCTTATTTTCAATTAATGCTGTAAATTGTGGAATTGCTACTATACGACATTTCTTAACTAAGAAATTCGAAATTTTGTGTAATATTTTTAAAATTTTAACCATGTTGTACAATAAAATACCACTTAATACTGACACGCTATCATAATAATCAAAGATAACGCCAGTGTGTATGTAAATCTCAAAAGCCCGTGGGCGTCTTTTCGAGATCGGCTGCTCGAGATTAAACCCATGGGACTTCTATTACCTGAAACTTTACGGTATGTATAGTTTTGTTTTAGGTTGTATCCAAACTTTAAAATATTTACATATTGCGAGATCTATTGATTCTAAAGCCGGGCACTCACTGCGTCGTACGACAGTCGCGCGACCGTCAGCCGACGAATCCAATTTAGCTTCCTGTGAGCGCTAGATTATTCGACGCTGTTGATTGTCGGTGGCTAGGATCATTAAAAACGATCTGTTGCATGCGCGTCGTTGCGTTGCGTTCTCCATAGAATCCTTTCGGCGAAGACCGCCGGGCGCTTTGAGTGGCCGGTTTAAGACCATTCAAAGACCAATTAGCTATTAATGTTAACCAGGGAACAGTGAATTCCCTGTTCCCTGATATAAACTATTAATTTCCTTGATTTCCACACCGCGTGCATTATTTTGTGGGGAGACACCACTTTTCTTATTTTTCTTGTTCCTTCTCTGTCCCCTTTTTCCATCCATGCACCTCCCCATTTTCAAGGCCAGGTATTCGGTTATCTCAACCACTGTAATGATACTCACGCCAACAAACAGTCCCAACTGTCCACCAATGTCACCTAATAAAAATAAGTAAATTAGATAATTATAAAATATATAAAAAACCAATATATAAAGCTAAAGATAAATAAATCATAAAAAATGTGTCTTAATAATACTGTACTGCAGCTGCAGAAGGTATGCTATAGCTTGCTTGTGGGAAAGGTTTGTTAGCAAATAAAGACTGTCCTATAGCAAAATTCAAATGTATGTTGTTTTTTTTTTAAATACCGACATGGTTTTAGTTTCTTCTCTAAAAATAATGCGCTGTAAAAGCATAACTTCTCCGCGGTGTGATTTTTCTCTGAGAATTGATAAGTAGGAATTTGTTTAAAACAAATTATTCTTGCCAATGTTTAGTTATTGTGGTATCGAACAATTTAATATACCAGTGACAACAACATGAAGAAATAAATGTTCCTATTAGAATTATGCTGGTATTTAGCGTAAATTTCCACAGAAGTGAAATATTAATTATTTCAGTGAGGTATTAGCATATTCACACACGTACCAAAAACCTCTGTCGTCTTATTATCATCTTGCATTCCGTAAAGTTTGAAGCGAATCAGGCTTAACAAACTTTAGTTATCATGTTAACTATCTTAAATTTCTTAAAGAAATATTAATAATACAAATGAGCAAATTGACAAACGAACCAATGAGCAATTAGCATATTCACATATTTACCAAAAACAATAGGCCCATCTTCTTGTTACTTTCTTACATTCTGCCAAGCTTGAAAACAATCGGACTTACCAAACTTTAGTTATGTAGCTTACATTACCTTATTAGTGCAATTTTAATTATGCAAATGAGTAATAAGCATATTCACACACGTACAAAAAACAGTAGGCTCAGTCCTCTTATTACCATCTTGCAATTCTGCCAACGTTGAAACCAATCGGAGCTACCAAACTTTAGTTATCGTGGTAACTAGCATATATTATCCAATTAGTGAAATATTAATTATGCAAATGAGCAATTAGCATATTCTTACATGTACCAAAAACAATAGACTCCATCTTCTTTTATCGTTTTGAATTTTGTCAAGTTTCAAAGCAATCGGACTTACTAAACTTTAGTTATCATGGTGACAAAACAATTTACCCAACAACGACAACGACAACATGAAGAAAAAAATGAGCAATATAGCCCCCGTAGATTCGATCCTTCGGGGAGACTAATAATACAAGTTTCTTCTATACCGGTTATATGTATGCAAATTCATTTAATCTTTATTCACTGAGATTATAAATTTTTTAGCAATACAAATTATCCAATTGGCAGTGGATGTCCTGGTTATCTACTGTAGAGAGAAGTAGTGAGAAGAGGAGCACGCCTACATACTCTTGGAAGCAGCGCTTCCATTTTAGTGTTAAATTTGCTATTCTAACGCAACCATGCGAAATTGTATTATTAGCCTCCGAAATTTCGAATTAGTAATTCGTTATTTCGGATTAGTAATCCGAAAAAACGAATTACTAATTCGAAATAACGAATTACTTAATTCGAAATTTCGGATTAGTAATCCGAAATAACGGATTACTAATAATTTGAAATAACGAATTACTAATTCGAAATTTCGGATTAGTAATCCGAAATAACGAGTTACTAATTCGAAATAACGGATTACTAATCCGAAATTTCGGATTACATTTTGATGATTTTATATACTTAAGTGGCACGAATAGGCTTTCGTACCACCACGCAGTTGGCACAATAGCAAATTTAACCATTATAAGGTATGCTCCTACTATTGACTCACTGAAGTCAGTGAATTCGGCCGACAACTGTCCCATATTTTTGGAGAGAACATAATGCACAATGTTCAGACATGTGCAGTTAAATTAATATGACGTCATTATGTTCAACGTTGTGTTGTCGCAAATCAAAGTCTTCTTAATGTCAGCTCTTTGAGAAGCAAACTTTCATAAGCATCTAGAATCCGCGCTCGGTATTAGAATTTACCAGGAACACTACCCTCACAAAAGCTTGCGATCCCTAGATAGTCACCCAAACCCATCCACCCCAACATTAAAATTTTCAGAGCAGAAAAAATTATGCTCATGTAGCAAAAATCACCCTCATACAACGACCGCTTAATCATCGAGCGATTGCTTTAATTCACCTTCGGACCCCATTATTTTAATATTCCCAGATAAAACACTGTTAAACATACACTTCTTGTGCTTCTTGTTTTCAAATTCCTTAGCACGCTTTATAACCACAATGAAAAGGCGCATTATTTATGCCCAAACCAGTACCAGGTACTTACTCAGTAAGGCTGAGAAGGTCATAGCTTTTGTTTGTTTATAAACTTGTTTCGTTATTACAGGATAATACACATCCAACATAACAACATTATCCCTATTGAGAAAGTATAAAAAGATAAAGATCTTATTCATAATCAGACTCATAAATTTCACGAAAACATGACTTTAATTACAAGTAAATTAAGCCCAAAAAAAGTAAAACTTATTTTCATTGAGGTCCTTGCAAACACAGATACGTAACTTCAAATTTTATCATGACAGACAACAAGCAGTTTAAAGGCCATAAAATGGAATAAAACAGAAAATAAAATGGTAGCAGTCAAAAAGATTAATATACAGATAATGTATGTTTCTGAGTACAATGAACAGAAAATGTTCATGAGTTTAAATATTGGCTGCCGCCAAGTTGAATGGAACTGTCAATCTTTGAACGAATAAAAATATTCTTTCCATTGTACAAATAAAAACATTCATTATTTGTTTTATAACACACCTACATTTAGATTCTTGTCATTTGATTATTTATTCTAAAAATCTACCATTTTTTCTAAATGGCGATTCTTGTCATTTGATATTAATTTTTTATGACCAAATGGAACATTCCGGCGTCTTTTTACCTAATCAAAGGATTGTATTAGGTTGAAGTTATAATATTGTATCCTAGGCGACATGCAATGAGCAAAAACGAATGGAAAGAAAAAGCACGGATGAAATTAAAAATGCATGGTGGATCTAAATTTCCATGATGAGTGACGAAATGGGGTAAATAACCAATGTCACATGATACGAAATCTACCAATCAAATGACAGGGTTCTATTTAGGTGTGTTATAAAACAACATAATTACTACATTTCAAGCATAAAGACAATTACCACAACACATTGCATCAATTTTGTACGATAACCATACCAAATATTTTCAATCGTCATCACTGCCACCATTAGCATTATAAGAATAATTATTGTTATAATAATTATCATTATCATCATAATCATCATTATCCATATCACTTTATAACTATCATCACCTCATCATCACCACCACAATATTCGTAATTATTACCTTATTTGTATTTAGTCATCATAATCATCATCATCACTATTATTGATAATATTATCATTATCATTGTCATCACCATCACCACCCTCATCTTCAATATAATGCTCAATATTATAATCATCATAATCATCGTCACCATCTATCATAAATAATAATTCATCACTTTCCTCCACCAACATCATTATCATCATCACTATAATCCGCACCACCGTAATATTTTCACCATAATATTATACAATTTCTAATCATCGTTGTCGTCATTGTCATCTTCATTCCACCATCACTACTACACCATCATATCTAGAATGGTATATTCCACTACTGTGGCCTAGGGGCACTTTAGATGTACTATTAATCATGAGGTAAAATAACTGAACATTCTAATTTCACATTTGAATTTCTTAATTTGTATATTTAAGTAAGTTTATTATTAATTAAAATTAAAAATTTGAATTTAAAAAAAATCCCCATAAATATTCGGAGGGGTAAATAATTATTTTTTACATAGATCTTTAAAATTGGCTGGCAATCAATTTTAAGGATTTTTGTAGGAAAATGTCTGTAAATCGGTGAGAACGATCTTTGATCTGTTACTCGTTGGAAGGTAATAAAAAGATAATGAGCTGTTTAAAATGTTTTATTTGTAATTTTTAAGGTATTTTACTGTCTTTTTGACTGATAGCGCATCTTTAACGAACTTTTGTTAAAACATACTTTAAAAACTCTGCTGATTCGTTGTAAGCTTCTTGAGTACCGTTACTAATACTGTAACTTGGGATGTTGGCGTATGATAACTTGGTCTCGTAGGAAATGTCTTTGCAGTCGAGGTAGCATTCACACCGAAGCTTATTGTTATTTATTCTATCTGAAATATACAAAACACGTTTATTGGTAAACCTGAAGCTCTGGGCCCACAGAAAGGAATGCACTCTCTCTTTCCTTAGAGTTTAGGGCAGACTGTGCAAGATTATGTTGGGGGGGGGGCGCGTGGGGGCCCGCCACTCCTCCCGCACAGCAGTCTGTTTTACCTTCCTAACATATGCCGGTGCCCATTTATACTTCTGGGTGGAGAAAGACAAACGCAGATAAGTGTCTTGATATATATATATATATATATATAAAAGCACACACAAAATGCTCTACCTTGAAAGCTTGCAGTGTGTCCCTAGCCGGAAGGCCAATTTTCCCAACGTTAACATAATTGGGAAAGGCCAGGGAAACCCAGAATCCCTCCGAGCAAAGGAGCTCCAAGGTGCTCAGTGTGGCATATTTAATCGATTTTAGAGTCTCACATTCTCAAAAATTACATATAAGTTTCTTTCGATAAAATCACTACCACGTAGGCTGGAAGCCGGGCAGTCACTGCGTCATACGACGGTCGCACGACGAATCCAACTCTGCTCCCTGTGAGCACTAGACGATGATGCGACGCTGGCTGCTGATTGTCGATGGCAGTCTGAACAGATCGTCATTAAAATCTGTTGACCGTGCGTCTTGGTGTTGTGTTCTCTGTATAATGGCGTCGGCCGATGTCCATCGGGCGCAATAAGTGGCCGGCTTAACTTTATACAATTTTTTGGCAACTTACCCAAAACTTTGACAATGCAAGATGTATCTCTTGGGTCACAGATTCTTGCTGGACCTTTATACCTATTAGAAATAATATGTGAATGTGTCATAATCAGGCTCGCAGCCAGGGGTTGTTTTTATGATTTGGGAAACCTCTCTTTTTCAGTAAACCCCCCACCCCCTAATGAGAGCAGTTTCACTGTTTTGGAATCAAATTGCAAGTTACCTCCCTTGAATCTAACACTATAAACACAAAGCAATTAGTATAGTCATATTCCCCAGATGGACATTTGTTTTTTAGTGGTTCTCATTATTCTACATTAAAATATGAGATAACTGCCTGAGTGGCACTGTTGCACTTGTATTATGTTCATTAATATCATTGTTATTATACACAGTATTTATTCAAGTAAAGGCCATTTGTCGTTGAGGATGGTTTTTGAGGGGAGGGGATTTATTCGAGAAAGGCGGTTTTGTTTAAAAGCAGAACGGTTATTCAAATAAATACGGTATATAAACTTTCACTCATACCTTTCAGGCTTACAGCCACACTGTTCAGCAAAATGTTTGAATCGGCACTCCATTACGCAGTTTACATACGAGTACGTTTTGTAGTAGTTTAACTTCTGATCTTTCTTGCATTGACCCCATGGCTCTTCCAGGGTATCAGTCTAAATCAAGAGCATATAAATGTAATAATAATAATTATTATTATTATAAAATAATAATTTAATAATAACTATAGGAAAATATTAATACGGTAATAATAATAATAATAATAATAATAATAATAATAATAATAATAATAATAATATCATGGGTCTTATTAAGGTAATATATATATATATATATATATAATATATATTGAATAAATGTAGTTGGCAATACTAGCAACGTACAGTGCTCGATACACGTGATAATGCAGAGCATGAAACAATCTGTAGAGTGATTATACCAAGTTCTACTAGTTCTACATTTTCAATATAATAATTATATATATATATATATATATATATATATATAACACTATAATATATTATATATATATTTTATATATATTATATATGTTATATATATAATATATTATTATACCATGTATTATAGAACTATATTATAATAGTAATAGTACGGTATTGTACAGTACAATCCGAAAAGGCTGAGTAAAGCAATTTTGTTTAATTAAACGTTGGATTAAAGGCTTAGAATAATGGATTGTATCAGCATATCAATAAAATTATTGTTCAATATCGACTTTAAAAGAAAATTCAATAAAAAATCATATCATGTTTCGTTGAAGTTAATGTTTACAATAATGTAAATATACCCTACAGCTGTTGTCTGATGTAAAACCCATGAATAAAACCCCAAGATGTTTTTATTTTTTTAATTTAACAATGCTATATGTTTATACCTTATAACTTTTTTCAGGAGCTTTTTATTCAGAAATATATGTCGGTATCACAGAGAAAATATTAATGTGACACTGGCAAATTTGGCTTCTTAAGATAATTACCACGGACGTTCGGCAAAAATAGCATTTTTAGACTTTAAAAAATGGTTTTTGGAGTGTTCGTGTATTAATTCTTTAAATATAGGTCTATCCAGCATCTTGTTGAAAAATAGGGCAAAATATCCTATAGCATTTCTCAAGCAAATGATATCATCCCACTCGAGATTTCAAACTTTTAAGAAAAAAAAACTGAGGCTATGTTAAAGCCATGTAGATTACCTTATAAGAGAATAAAACACGCCTATTCCGAAAAGATATATGTGACACCGGCATACCCGGCTTCTTATTTAGGCGGGTGCCTATGCATAACCTGCAGAACCGTTCCTGCAGGTCATAGATTTCTGCCGATTAATTCTTTCCCTTACTAATAACATCGTTATTAATTTTAAGGTTGCAATTTTTTTATTTTTTTTTTTAGTTTTTTTTCTCACCCTAACATTCGTCATGGCGAAGGTCTGATCCGCGCGTTATACATGGCTGTAATATTTTAAAATGCCCATATACGTAGAAAACTCACGAAGCTTAGATCCTATATAAATTGATGGATGAGATATTAAATTTGCTCTACCTCATATACATATACATCAGCAAAAGCATGCTGACCGGTACCAATAGCAGACCCTCTAGTGGACACGAGAGGGGGCGTGTCTTGTGGGTGTACTAGAAACTTCAATCCAGCTTCCAGGTTACCACCAAGTTCAAAGGTCTCTGTATATTCATACTGAAATCATAGTAAGCATAATGTAAGGAAGTTAGATTATATATGCTTCATTCAAAAATCACAATTAGTCATAGACTTGAACTTACAAGTAAACTTCCTTCTCCAAGGGTCCTGTGACTAAACTACCAGGTAAACCGGAGGCAGCATAATATACTCTCGTCTGTCCACAACATGGGTCGCATACAGAGGTGGATCCAGTAATTTAAAAAAGAGGGGCATAAGGAACTTTTACAGATGGAGGGCCTACAATAGACCACCTCAGCCCCACTATGGTTTGTAATTAAATGTATGATTAATATGGCGCCAACAGATGGACGGAATTGGCACTCACAGACTTATAATGTCAGGCTTGAGAGAAAAAAAGTTTGATATGTTGTAGAACTGATTTTTCTAAGACACAAAAAGCATATTTGACGAAAAACTCGAAAGCAGTTATATTATAAGTGGGAGGGGGATGGGGCGTAAACACCCTTATTTTTCTACATTTCCCCCTGTTTTTAAATATTAAACAATCTGTATCTCATTAATCGCTGCCCAGTTTTTCATCAAATATGGTTCAAATTCTGTGTCTTAGAAAAACCAGTTTCTCAACATATAAAAACTTTTCCTCTGGAGCATAATTGAACATAATTTTATGTTTTTCTCCATTTTTTTTCTCATAATTCTGACAAATTTAGGGTGCGGAAGGGTTTTATGAGAAAAGTTGTAGGACCCACCATCTGTAAAATCCTCTTCCTGGTCCCCGTCTAATTCCTGCATCCGCCACCGAGTAATATTGATGTTGCCGCATTGTCAGTTTGTGTACCGTACTCAGAAAAACATTCGATATGGTAAAGTCATTAAACATTAAGCAAATTGATATGGTATGGGGGTCTTTATTATTCAATTAATGCCTTTCAAAATCTTCTCTCAGAAGGTCAGCATTTGAAATTTGTTCCAGAGTGTCAATCCGATGGGCGGAGCTCAGTGAAAAGGTCCACTCTTCACTTTTGAGAGGGATACGCATGCACCAATCACACACCCCTGGATACAGGCCTCGATTATTTATACATCAAAGGTTTACTTAGTGATTTAAAAATCTAAAGGTAGAGAGTGTCAATCAAACTTTTGTGGACCTTAGCAACAATAAATAAGGGGTGGAGCTTAATGGAAAGGTCCGTTGCTCACTTACCTGGGCCACATTTATCATCAATTGTAGTCCACTATTACGTCCTGGTTGAAATTGCTTCAAGCTGCTGCCGCTCGCTCCATTGAAGGTCCAACAGCGACCGTAGTCGGTAATAACACTTGTAAAATTCTATAAAATATTGATTGACAGGTAATAATTGATTGACATCCCTGAATTATATGATACCGGTAATCAGTGGTAACCAATGAGAGGTAATGATAAAAATAAAGACTTTTCCCACTGTGTTCGCTAACTTTCGAGATCTCCTTTTTCCTTATTCACTTCCCATCGCTGCTCTCCTTAAATCATTAATCTAAATTAACCTTTGCATCAAAATAATAATAATAATAATAATATTGATAATAATAATAATAATAATAATAATAATAATAATAATAATAATAATAATAATAAATGATAAAAATCATTAATTAAAATAAAAAATAGTAATTTCTAACTAACCTTTGCATCACAAGTTTTACCCCGGAATTTACACGACCACAGCGTTTCAGCATCAAGATCAAATCCGGCTTTTTCCGTAAATTCTGATACATTGAAGGATGTTGTGTTAAGCAACTGTCCACACTTATCTATGTATTGAGTGAATTGCCCACTAAGATCCTCTATCCCAAGAATGGTAGCACAGCCATAATAATCCTCTTCAGTTTTGGATATCTTAGACCGACGGTACCTTAAGAGTGAAGAATAATTAATAATTCTTTAATACACTGTCATAGTCAAAGCTTTTTATATCTGAATCTAAATTTAGTTATTAAGTCATCATCTCATCATTACTGTCATCATCATCATCATCATCATCCAATTTGTTATTTCACTCTTTATCCTGTACAGGTCGCCCTCTAACCAAAGACACCTCCTGCAATTAAGACCTATTTCCTGTGGTCCCAAATCAAAAAGTCTTTTATCTTTATTATTCTAATTAGAGACTAATAAAGACCATGAAAGCATCTGTCACGGAAGGGCTCTTTAATTGGAGGGAGAAATGTACTTGCTAAGGATGTAAATTCCCCTCTCCACCTCTCCCAACCCCTCCTCCTTACCCCCTCCCCAACCCAAAACAAAACTAATAACAATAAACTAAAACATGTTGGCAAGCATTACGGTACTAATTCAATATTACTACCTAGGACCTTTCTCTATCCTAAAAATCCCAGTCATTAATCTTAGACACTTAAATTTTATCACCGATCCTGGAGTTTACAATTATTTTATTGTAATGGCCTTTTTCAATTGTCATTTTACTAATCTTTATCGATTTTAAAATTGATGTGAATTTCAAATGTCTTCTATATTGTATTGTATTTTTTATGTAAATTTTAAGTGTCCCATGTTGTCAAAGAAAAAACAAATTTGTTAGTGTAATGTTGGAAAATAAAGGTTATCTCTCTTATTTTGAATTAGAAATTTAAAAAATATAATTTATTTAAAAAAAGTAATTAATATAATAGAGAACGAGGGCAGACTATGTTTGCTTGACTGAAAGCTTAAATATCACAAGTACATTTATGGGCCTGCAATGACGGATAATCTATACTTGTGCAATAAATCTGACTGACTCCAATCCATTAAGTGGAAGTTAAATCGATACCGAGAAACTAGTCAATAACAACTCACTTATATTACAGAATATTTAATATCCTGTGGTAAAATTGAGTCGTCATTAACTTTCACGGATATTAAATCTACTATCTGTTTATCTCACCATTAGTTTTTTCACCCATATAAATATTTTTCCTCAAAATGTCATCAGTAGAATATAATTGTTCTAAATATTTACAAAATTCACATAATAATAAATATATATATTTTTTATATATAAGATAAATTTAAATTTTTTATGTAGGGAAAATGAACAGTTCCCAAGTTTTATTTAATTTATATATGTATGTATATATGTATATAGGCCTATATATGTGTGTATATTATGTATATATGTAAATTTAAAAAAAAGTGTTATATAATACGGAGTAGACTTTTCGAACACAATTTATTTCAACTTGAATATTTCAACCTGTCCTCAGGTCCTTTATACTATCGGGCCTGTCTCTTATACACATCTAGATGTGTATAAGAGACAGGCCATAACCTCATCTATTTCATATGGTGTACGGTTTGTGATGGGGTATGTTATGTCGGGGAGACAGGTTGCTCCTTTAGAAGCAGGTGTAATAATCATAAATCATCGATTTAAAACAAATATAATTTACCGATTGCTAAACATTTTAATCAAAAGCGCCATGATATTAACTGTATGAAATTCATTTTAGTTGCTAGCGGGTTTAAAACCCTCAGTGAAAGGCGTTGTGCTGAGCTGAGATGGATACTTAAACTTAAAACACATAAGTCAGGTGCTAATAAAGACCTTGGATTCATATCTGACTTCACTTTCGCTAATAAATAAATATATATTTTTGTCCATCCGTCATATTTTCATCCATCTAGTCTATCTCTTCTATTTCACAGTTTTTTTTATATTCACTTTATTTATTCGTTTTATCTTCCCTTATTCATCATTTATATTTTTATATCATATATTATATATTTCTTTATTCCTTTTTTGATAGTTATGTGTCCACATGACATTTTATTTGACAGTATTATATTATTATCATCATCATATTTTTGTTGTTTATAGGCCTATTTCCTTGTTTACCATTCATTAGATTTGCCACATCTGACCAGTTATTTATGCCAACTTGCTTATGTCAGACTTAAGGCCTCCTTATAAACTATTGCTAGTGATAAGACTGTGTAACCTATTGTTTATAGATCTGGTGATTAATCACCCATTGTATAGTTTTATGTATTCTGTTAAGTTTCTCATTGATACTCATGCGCTGACGAAGGTAACAGGAGTTGCCGAAAATTTCGCAAATAAATATTTCTATGTCTCCTACAAGTCAAAGTATCGTAGCAGTTTAATTTGTCTGCGTCTACCTACTGATTTATTCCTACGATGAGACATACGTGGATCCACATCAACAACACCGATTGAATATGAATTTATATATATATATAAATATATATATATGTATATATATATATAAATATATATATATAATATATAATATATATATACATATAATTTATATATACATATTTATACATATAGGCCTAATATATAATAGTTACTATGTTCGATGTGATAAAAAAAAAACCACTTTTAGAATGTTGATTTTTGCTAAAATATACACGCTTTTTTGTAGTGTGTTTTTGTGTAAATTGTTATCTTAGTTTTGTTAACATTAATTTACCTTCAACGTTTTATACCTCAATTAAATACATAAATAAATGAATACGGTACCGTACACACTCCAATAAATAAAAATGCACTTTTAAAAGGGGGTATAGGACCAGGAATGACAGTTTAGTATTAGGATTATTTTTAGTTAGAAATTATCAATTTTCACAAAAAAAAAAGGTATAGCACGAAAAATATGATAAATTTGGCTTGTGAGGGTCTAAAAAATGAGAATGCGGAACTAAATCCCTAATTCAATGAAATCTTAACGGTCATTTTTAGTATTTTAACCCACTTAGTAGAAGTAATTTGCTGCTTGTATCCGCACAACCATCCCCCTCTCCCCAGCCTACGCCCCATGTTGTGTCCTCCCTCTCCACTTCAGTCACACAAACGTTCTTACCTGTTAAAGTTGCATATCGTAACAGCCGGAAATGTCACTTCTTCAGGATTTTCAATTTTTATTTCTGTATTGACGTTGTATTGAAAGTAAATAATAATCCTTTCCACAACCGCAGTCCCACAAGACACCACAGCTACTACTATGATTATTACCCAGAATAGCTTGTAACTGCAGCCTCTCTTCTCGGTTAAGCGCTGCACCCCATGCATTGACGTCTTGGTTGCGAAATCATAATCAAGGGCGTCTTCGCTGTCGGACATGTTGAAATGTTGTGAGGTACCTATAAGAATAACTCTGTAGTATAAAACCAACAAAACCCTCTCAAAACCCCCTAAAAATAATTATCCCGATTGTATTTCTCCAAATTTCCAAATGACATAATTTTGTATAGGTAATATAGACTAATTATACCACCAAATATCTGGTCTTTGTAATGCTAAATTAAAAACTACATATACAAAACTATGAATTCGTCAACCTTCTTAGACTAAAAAAACGTGTTCCTTCATTTCGGTCCGTTATATTCAATTTGAAACACTGAGCTGGTAACAGAATGACGTGTTATGGATAAAAACATTTGGATGTTAAACAAGTCGAAAGAAGTGAAGTGCTTAGCAAAGGGAAATATTTAAAAAATAAGGGTGATCCATTTAATAAGGTATGTATAAAACCAGATATCCGTCCCATATTTCGCAAAGAGGCTCGTATAAGGAAGGTTGTACGGGAGGAGAAAAATAAACCTTATTTGGTTAAAATTGCAATCGTTGGGCGATTTATGGGTTGCTGGTTGCTTTATCCCTCCCCAGGATTCACCTTATTTTGATGCTCAAATAACGTCTAGAAGTGAAAACGGATGATGTCTTTAAAGGCCAACTCAGACAGCGTCGGCCGACGCAGCCCGACGCGATTTGTTGTCGCGTCGGGTCTGTGTGAGTTGAACGCGGACGCGATGGTGTGCGTCGGGGGTAGTCGCGTTGTAGAATATTAAACGTGTTTAATATTTCTCAAGACGGCTCAAGACTGTCCCCGACGATAAATCGGGTCGGGCTGCGTCGGCCGACGCTGTCTGAGTTGGCCTTAAAACACACTGTAAGAACTTACTTAATCCGAATGATGCAGAAAATATTGACTAACCCATTAACTCTCCGTATATACCTTTGATTGACGATGATTTAGCATTGATGAGGTTTTATATGTTACAGGATCGTTAAAAGATAAAGTTGGATCTTTACGTTTTGTAACTCTTAATGTATTGATCACCTTAATGTTTGTATTAAATGTGATATTTAATACTGCGTCAATGCCTGTATCATGGGGAGTATGCCGTCTCATTATGCTCTTAAAGCGAGGAGATCGTACGGATCCAAATAATTACCGTGGAATTAGCGTTTGTGATGCACTAACCAAACTCTTTGAAATTTTGCTTAATAACAGACTTGTTTTATGGTATAAGCCTATGAATGAACAAACGGGGGAACAAAGGGGCAAAGGTTGCTTGGGACAAATTATGACCTTACGTTTTACTAATTGATTATGCGAAGACAACAAGTGTAAATTGTTTCTTTTATTAGTTATTGGTAATTAATGGTAACAAACAAGATAACAGTACAATCAGGGTTGAGAATACTGTTATTGAGTCATATGATTCATATATGCATTTAGGATCTCAAAGTACTGGACAGGGAACAATCAAGTATGTTATTGATGCACATTTGAAAGAGAAAAAATCAATTATTAAGTTCGGTGCATTTTTAAAAAGAAATGCTAACTTACCATTTATTTTTAAAAAGAAAATAGCTGAGGCAGCAGTAACGTTATCGTTATTGTACGCTAGTGAAACATGGTTAGGAGATGGGATTGCAAACTCATGTCTATCTTTGTATATGAATGGGGTAAAACCACTCCTAGGAGTAAGGATGCAAACCTCCAGTGAATTATATTTGATTGAGGCTGACATGCCAAGCTGTGCATTTCGAGTGAGAGATTCTCAAAAACGATAGTTAAAGCGTAATGTTGTGAATAATCCGAACCCTTGATCATGCTCCACTTATTACCGCTCTAGGTTTGCGTCGTTCTTTGGACTCACCGATGTCACGACATATAAACACTGTAATTTCAGATGTAGGTGTCTTTTATGATGAGATGGTGCGCTTGAGAAATAGCATTGGATAAAACAACAACGCGATTTAACCAGTATAAAGCGTTTAATACTGAGCTCATACGCAAGCACTAATTCATTATGTCGGGATGTTCAAGAAAATGAACGAATTGTATTATCACGCTTTGTTTTAAGTTCCCATTATCTTAAAGTTGAGACAGGTAGATGGTCTCAAATAGAAAAAGATAAAAGAATATGTAAGTGTAAAGAAGGTGTGCAAGATGAGAATCATAATTATTGTATTTGTTTGTAAATTTACAGAGGAAGTTACAACTCAAATTAGAAATACTTACCGTAATGTTAATGAGGTCTTGTTTGGAACTGTTCTTCCACAACAATTATTGTCCCATACTGTTATGAAGGCAATGGAAATTTCCCAAATGTTAAAAAAAAAAATGTATTTATTTATGTATGCCGGACGCACTGAGACATCGGATGATTAGTGAATTTTAATGTATTGTATTACAAAAACGTAAGTACAATAATGACATATTGATTATTACTGTTTTATTACAGAAAATATTTCAGCCGCTCCAAGTTTTTTTTTTTCCTATTCTTCCTTCTTAATTTATTCTTTAATACTATGCAATTTTATTTTTATTCATAATTAAACGATTACTTACACATACATTCATTATTTTTAAATTACACATTTTTTTCGTTTTAAGGTTGGACTCTATGATTACATTGTGTCTGTATTTAAATTTTTTTTTCTATGTCAATTTGAAGTTGGAGATAAGTCCTGGTCTCAACCCTCTACAACAGTAGGGTTTAGGTGTCACCACTTTCCTTGATTAGTTCAGAGCAGCTGCTGAAACTGAATAATACTTACTTAAGCCTTGACGGACCCTGACTTATTTGACTAGTATCCTCCATTCTTCTCTATCGGCCATTGCCAATGGGAGGATATCTCTTGGCAGTCCGGTATCATTCTCCAATACATCTATGTATGTTTGCATAGGTTTTTCTGATTTCGCGTTTCCATGTCTTGAATCCGAGAATAATAACATCAGAAATTATTTCTTGGCTATTAAGTTTGCCATGTCCAGTAAATCTCAGACGTCTGATTCAAAGTGTTTCGGAAATTCGAGGTATAGGCCTAGCTAAGGAGCCTTAAAGATTGTCATTACTAATTTTCTGTTGCAATTTGATATTCATTGCTGCTTTAAGTGAATGTGAATGGCAGCTATCAATTCATTTTTCAAGCGTCTTTGTTAATGTTCAGCTGTCTGAACCATATAGGAGAGCTGTTTCAACTGTGCCTCAGAATAGTTGAAACTAGATAGCATTGTTTATACTGGATTTCCATATGCTATCCGTTGTTGAGTGCAGCCCATGCTCTTCCTTTTCTTATTTCAAAATTTCTAATAGTAGTGTATATAAGGCTGCCTAGATTTGAAGTAATGTAAACTGCAGGATATCGTCTACTTATTTGATGGTTCATCGTTAATCCCAAATTTTCATGGCATTCTGTAGCCAATCTGGAGGCAGCGGGTACATGGGTGGTGCCAGCCAGGGCCCCCCGTCGGGGAGAGCTGCTCCCCCCCCCCTCGTCGGGGAGAAAAATCACATTTCGTCGGGGAGAAAAAAAATCTATGTATTTTCTACATATTAGTAGACTCAAAAATCGATTAAATAATCCTTTGAAACCCCTAAAGGACCACTTTCGAAACCTTTTAATCGAAGCACGACCACGCCCACTTTGCTTCCCTAGGGGAAATCTGACCCCCTGTCGCCACCCCTGGTGGGATTAAAAAGCAGTAAGGAGCTAAAGTATCATTTGCAGAATTCCTGTTGATATAATTATTGAACAATTCTGTCTCTCAGTCTGGAGACAAAACCTTTGCTTTTGTGTTATTGTTTTGATTGCATTAACAATTTTCCATATCTCTGCCGGTATATCATCAAGTCCACTAGCTTTATTGTTATTGCACTTGTTGATGCAGATTCTAAGTTCATCTAATGTAAATGGTCCTGTTTCTATGGGTTCGTTATGAATTTTCTTAATTGATTCATTGTGAGAAATCTGAGGTGGATTAAAGAAGATTTTGAAAATGGTTTTTCCAAAGAGTTATCTTTCTTTTTGGTTACTTGCACACAGTAACCAAAAGGTTAGTTCATTTAAAACTTTATGCAATTCTACTTTTTTATTGAACTACTGTTCTTTTAATTTCTCTGATTTTGTTATTAATTTAATGTTTTTTGACCATTTTTATACGTGTTCTTTAACTTTTCTATAGCTTTTTCATGTTGTTCACTATTAATATAGTTTGGATTGATATTCCTATTCGCATTTATATCTGTTCTATTTGCCTAAAGATTGATTTTCCCAGGGTTGACCCATATTTTTTATTCTTTTCCTTTTTGGTATGTTCAATTTGGTCGATTTATTATGTGCTAATATAATGTTATTAATGTATAGAAGTTGCCGTTTTCTTATTGTCTTTATTATTGTACACTTTAAACCTTGATTCAACATGTTTTTGATATTCCATTTGTATGTCTTTGTTTATCAGTAAACATTCCCCAGTCATATCTGATTTTTGCTTTTATTCTGGTATGTCCTAAGACTAAGTATAAATTTAGTAGTCACTATTCTATGATCTGAACCAATAGTTGAAAATGTATTAAAAGCTTCACGATCTTTAGCTTTATATCTCCATTTCCTATTACAAAGGATATAGTCTGTTTGAGCAAGCTGTTTTATAGGTGAGGTGATGTATAATGTTCACAATTTTCCTTGTTTTTTCTGATAACTGATAACTTGTGTTCAATGCTATCATATCACAGTTTCTCATTAAATCATTTAAATATTTTCTATTCCGATTACTTTTCTTATGAGAAGTAAAAATAGGCTTCAGTTTTTCCTAGCTGTGCATTCATATCACCTCCTACATTTGTCATGGTGTGGGCAGGTTTTGAACGAATAGTATCAGCCAATAGGCTATAAAAATCTTCGGCAGCCGACTGGACAGTTTCATTAGTAGGACTGTAACAAGATATAATAGCTGTGCATGGATTTCCGTTAAGATTTGAAATAATTATTCTGTCATTATTTTTTTCGAATTTATTTAATGTTTTATAAGGAAGAGGACTGAAAAGAATACCTACTCCACCTTTGGAGGCATTTTTATTGTTTTCCAAACTGATGTGCTAATTAGCATCCATTCATTACTTACTTTATAATATTTAACATCCTTATCATGTATAAATATAATGCTTCTGAATACAAACAGCATCAATATTACATATTGATGCTGTTTGTATTCAGAAGCATTATATTTATACATGATAAGGATGTTAAATATAATGCTTCTGAATACAAACAGCATCAATATTATGTATTTCACAATTTGCTAGTAACTCATTGAATTTGCGCTAATTTTGAACATGTTCAAAATTGGCGCCACAATTTTAGAGCTGCTACGAGTAGGTATGAGTTCTCCCCGAGCTTCCCAAATTGCAATACGAGTTTTTGCCGAGTTCGCCAAGCTAACAACTCGGCAAATTCTTCGTCACTCCTATGCTGAAAAAAAACCCTAGTGAGAGAGGGTCTTAATCAGCAGCTAAACTTCTGGTATTAAATGAAGAAACAGACACATACTGTGTACATTTCAAGAATTGTAAAGATTTTGCGACAGTAATCCACCTTTGTTTTAAATCGAATATGCCCCTATTAAAATAGGGGCATATCCGATTATCATTAGTATTTATTGCTAACTTTGGCCTTTTTAAGAGTAGAGGGTAAAGAAACAATTTTTACGTTGATTTTTCTGAGAACTTTATGGAATTCCCCTATCACATCAAAGGGCCCGGCAGTTAATATTGCACTGGGGCCCGTTTGCACCCCACCTCCCAGGTAACAAGCCCATAAGGGACCCATATGGTGCCCATATGCAGATCTATATGGGTACCATATGGGCTATCCTTGAGGAAACCTCCGGATTCTGCACCCAAGTTCCATGTGGGACCCATATGATTTAGCCCACATAGCCCAGATATAACCCATTTGGGGCCCATATGGAACCCACATGCATTTTTACATGGGTGGTATATGAGTTTCCCATATGGGACCTATATTTTCC